CATGACGCAAGGAGATGTGAGGTGATGGTTGACAGTTGGTGTTTCGAAAATCAGAAGAGGAATAGTAAGTTTTGTGAAAAAGGACAAGACGATCAAGTTGAGATCTTTGAGATAGAGGGCATAGGTCGAGGTTGAATTTTAGTGCAGTTACGCTAGACGTTCGCGAGTAGTCGTGTGTTATAAAACGTGAGGCCTTGTTTTGCACCGATTCGAGTTTAGTAATGAGATATGATTGATGAGGCCACCAAATAAAGTTGGCGTAGTCCAATTTTGATCGGACGAAAGTCTTATAGGCAGTTAGTTTAACACAACGGGGAGTGGGGTATAGGTTACGTTTGATGTATCCTAGAGATCTGCATGCACTAGCCACTACATTGTCAATATGAGTATTCCAAGTTAGGTCATCAGAAAATGTTACGCCTAAATATTTGTAAGTTGGTACTTTTTCGAGAGGCAGTGTTAGTAAGGTGTAGTTACGTACAATAGGAGATCGCTGACCAGTGAATGTCAAAAGTTTGCTCTTGGTTACATTGACCTTCATCTGCCACGTGTTACACCAATGAGACAGAACAATTAGATCCTGCTATAGTAGTAATGAATCTTCAGGGTTAGTGATGCGACGGTAAATTACGCAGTCATCCGCGAAAAGCCTAATAGATGATGTTATCTAGTGAGGAAGATCGTTAATATATATAAGAAATAAAAGCGGTGAAACAGCCTTAAACTCAACGCACGCGAACAGCAGGATCTTTTTCTTACTTTGAAACAAAACAAGCTTAAAACCACCAATTTCGATGACGTAACACTTCTCGACATAGCCGCTCGTCAAGTCGTCGACGCAGTATATATTCTGCTGCGCCGTGCTGCGCCACGGCCCCACTGCTAATACCTAATTCAAAGTACCGTCTCCAGACATGATCGAAGCACGTCTGAAGCCAACATGCTTGGAACATGCTTGGAGCGTGACCGCAGATAATGGACCTTTTCCAAATACCGACGGCACCAGGCGGTGGCTGCACGAACTAAAAATCGAGGAAGTGACCTACTTGCGCTACCAATCGATAATGGGAGCTACGCTACCAGTTGCTCCGCTCTCTGAGCTGCGTCGCGTGCCCAACGCGATTTTAAAGAGGTAAATCCGTAGCGTCCACCCTAACGTCGTGTTTTTCTTTCCGCCCACTTTCTTTTTTTGTGTAACACAATTATATATATGCTGCAATTACGTGTTCTACTCGCTGATCCACAGCCTCCTTCCGAATTTCCTCGATTTTTCGTGCCGACTTCCACCGCTTGGCATCGGGCGCTCGCGCGTGCGCAGAACGCTTCTCGCAAAAGGTCCATTCTGTCATTATGTCTGCAACAAACACAGTGTTGTTGTTGTTGTTGTTGTTGTTGTTGTTTTTGTGTGTGTGCTTGATGTACTGGCAGTGTGACTGTGGCTTGAAACCCACTCGGTTTATTGCGTTCATTTTGGTTAAGACTAGAGCGTCTCTTTATTGTGTAAACTTTTAGTGAAGCAGTTCTCACCTTGCGGACTTCTATAAAGAACTACTAAGGGGGACATCGTGACAAATTTGTCTGCTTTCTCACATTCTGACCACCATGCTTACCAGGGCAAACATACGAACATCGTGTAAAGTACATCGAGCCTTGACGTCGTAACCGGGCCGCAAGGCGTAGAGAGCGACACCACCAATCCGGAAGAATACTACGCTGCGTCTCCTGAGTGGCGAGCTGCCTTTATAAGCCAGCGGGAAATTCCGCTTCACCTGCGAACGCAAAACCTTTTTTTTTTTTTTTTTTTTTTTAACGTGCGATGGTATGATGCAATGTCTTGAATTTGTTAAAAATATCAAACCGGTTTAGACGAGTTGCTTTCGTGGACTCATCGCCTGCTTTTCCGCTCACAAAGCTTCGGAGGAAGAGTGAACCTTTGACCCCTCTGCTCTCTTCGTGTGTTTTGCATAGGACCAAATCTGAAGACATTTTAGCGCGGCCCCTTCCATGTTGTAGCATCAACATAGATTTTAAGGTTTGAATATGTCCTTTTTTTAAGGTGGAGGACAAGATTATTTACTCGTAATTTACCCTTTTTTTATGAAGCACAATCTTTTAATCGGATCTCAATTTGGATTTTGAAAATTAACGTCAAAAGAATTTGTACTGTTGCACCAAAAGGAGACTATACTCCACAATTTACAATAAACATTATTAGCTACTGGCATCTTTCTCGACTTTTTGTATGGTGTTCCCTTTTCCCAGAGTTCTATTTTCAGAACCGTCACAAGCATGTATCCTAAACAAGCATAAATCATCTTTGCTCCGCATTAATTCCGGTTTTTCCCCAGAGGAGCACTTTAGGTCCACTTTTATTTCTTTTTTATATAAACGACATCATTACTATTCATTCTAGTGTCTAAATTTGTAGTTATGCGGACGATATCAGTATGATCGTTTCTAATCTTAATTGTGAACATCTTATAAACAAAACAAACAGTGCCATTAAAAAAACTTTATATAAATGCTCGCAAGTAAATATTTTAATTGCATTCAGGAACTCAACTCAACTTATCTGTTCCTCTAACACTGGGGTCTCAAACACGCGGCCCGCGGGCCGCATTCGGCCCGCGACTCTCTGGGACGCGGCCTGCAAACAACCCGCGGCTGCGAGTCCCCATACACATGCCTCGAACTTTACATGCGCCATAAATAGTAGTTTTATATCGTAGATTCATTCCAGCTCGAAGGGGGCTCTGATCATATGCCGTGTTTATACATTTTGCACAATGTTTCTTTTTTTTTGAAGGGCTGAATATTTGCTTCGCAGCCTTTCTCAGGTAAATCAGCCGTAACGGCAATACCACTGAACTAGACGTGCGAGCTCTTTGCTCAGAAAGTTATCCGGCTGCACGAGCTCTCGCTCAGCAGAAGCAACTTTAAAAAATAAAGCTATGAGCTCTGACCACGGTGGAAGAAACACATCTAGTTGGTGACTCTCTGTCCGACGCGGCGACCAGATTATGTTTGGCGCACCGAGCGCTTCACTTGCAGGAGGATAGATGGTGCCCAAGTATGGGATTCCTCCCAAACCGACCGCTCCGGTTGTTTCTCCCAGCAGTGGTCCCGCAATCCCTCGCTCACTTCTTGTTGTAAATAACCGCCACCGGAAGGATCGGTGGCCGAGTGGGCTGAAGCGCACACCCAGCTCGGAGCACGTGGAGCGAAAGCTCACGCTGCGGAACCCAGTGACTCTGAGTTCAATCCCCACCCCTGCACATTTCGATCTGGATGAGCATCGTACCGGCGTGCGGTCGTGTATCACTACTGCGTGGTGCACGTTAAAGACCCCAGGTTAGCGGTTGTACCGCACTGGCTGAATTGCTCATCTATAGCTGAGAGTCCAGACGTCCACTGAGGCAGACTAACTTCCAGCCTGTTAAACATACGCACAACAATTTGCTTGCTGTCAAAAAAATACCTTTACGATAAATGCATTTTCTTATAATGCTGCTATAAAAATCATCAGAAAGCAAAAACCGCCCTACGAAAATATCGTTTTTGCCGGTTGAGCCATTGTCCGACAGGGCATGGAAGGCGTGCTCATTTCGTTCTATTAAAAAGCGCGAGCACGTTGGCGTTTTATATTTTATATCATCAGGGTGCGCCCAAAGTAGTCGTATACGCAAATGAATGCTAAAGAAGGCAAAATGGTGAGCTTTCAAAAAGTAGAACGCACAAGTCTCCCTTAAAAAATCGTTCTAAGGTGCCGCTGGGAGACCCGGCTGCTTTGCAATGCGGCACACCATTGCGACTTGTTTGTTTATATTTCTTTTGTCCCAAAATAACAAAAAATCGCTGCCCATTGCGTATGTTTTTGTGTTTTCTTTTTTTTGTTTTTTTAGCATGATGTTATAAGTCTGGGTCACACTGCTTACTACATCACACAAAAGACGCTCTGCATACAGATTCGAATGCGAGTCACCGGAAAATTCGTGCTTCGAATGCCACATGGCAATGAGTTCAAGGAGAAACTTGGCATGCGGCATTCGAACCACGACCCTTTTGCTGTTTACAAACATGAACTGTCGCTTACGTTCCGTCGAGCTTGCTTATGTCACCAGTGCTAGAAAGCATTAAGGCTAGACGGACAACAAGGTTGGAGATTTAACGAAAGCCTTCGGCTGCACAGTTTAACGTCTTGGAGTAGGCAAGTTAGTTTATAAGAATCTTTGAAAAAATTTTAACAGATCTCGCTTTTCTTTTCTTATTTGCGTTCCTCTGGAGATATGATGGTTAAACGTTTTATCGCCTTTTCAAGCAGCGGTGCTAAAGTGGGCGTTGCTCAGACTTTTTATGAACCGGAAGTTCTCTGGTATGTCAAAAGTGGAGCACCGCCTGGAGGCGTTTACCATGAAAAAGGTCTATTGCTGTAACTGGTGTTCGAAGATTGTTATTTGTGTCATATATGAGCAGTGTGGCCCCAAATTTAGCTTCTTGGTAGCCCATGTCAGGTCTAGAGTGGTGTCGCCTTGTCTTTGACTTAAGCTGATTCTAGTCGGGGTGTCCGGTTCATTGAATAAGAGCTGTTCGAGCTGTTAGGTCTTTCTTGCTAGGTTTTTTCCCCCTTTTGGATGGTTCCCTTGTAATTCCACAACATTTATGACCCCTATGGTATGAGGATTCGGTGATCCCTAGAAAATAACTACAACAAAGAAAGCTGATCATAGACTCGCTCCATGAATACGTCAGGTCAGCGAACCTGAGATTATACATAATATCCAATCTCTCATACCCCATTCCTGCTAGATAACTCCCCCAAGTGAAAATTTTGCAAGTGGTACCACTTGCAAGTGATTTATTGAACATGTACCACTAGGAAGTGGTACCACGTCCCCGTGGTACCACTTGCTAGTGGTACCACTTGCTAGTGGTACCACTTGAAAACAATACCATTGTTATATAGATGCACAAAAACAAAGCCTGATGTTCGTCTTTCTTACTTTTATTTTGCAGTTGAGAGTGCTTGTAGAGTAGAAGCACTTGGACTGATGATGAAAAATCTTCAAAGCCCAGGCACCTCAGAGCTTTTCGGGAGTTCTGGATCTTTTGTGACAGGGTTGTCGACATGTTAGTGATGACTTGGTGAACATGCACCTTGTTCTGGTGTCCCCAATGTTGCACTGTCTCTGCAAAAATAAGAAAAAACTACTGATCCAATAACAGCTCATGGGGATACAGTCATATGATTGAACAGATTGAACTCACTTACCTATGAGGATGACGAGGCCAACGTTGAAGGGACTCAGTTCCTTCTGGACCACCACAAGTCCCACGTGACGCCAAACCGCTTGCGCCATTTCTTTGTTCACCATGGTTGGTTTGGCCTGCTTCATTATTTTTTCTGCTTGATAGGAGCCGATGGTGGTGCCCCGATGCACGTAGTACTGTGGGTCAAAAGGGTATCGTAGCTTTAGCAGCGGTCAACACCAAATCCACAATTCACGCAAAGCCAATCGTCGCAATGATTTGCCTCGGGCCACTTAGGCGTTCGTGTGTGAAAAGCTGAGGGTGTCGACAGCCTCTTGGCAGACATCTCTCGTCAGAGTTCTAGAAGCGGTTGCCACTGACGTCGTTGCTGGCGACGGCACAGCGACAGCGCTGAAGGAAGGCAACGTGTGGAAGACCCGTTGACCCTCCACTCCCAGGCAGTGGCGGAGCAGGTTTCGACGACATTCTGAGGGTAGTGCGTGAGCCCCACATGCCCCCATGAAACAATCGAAGAGTGAAATCCATCGCTCCCAGGGAATTTTCGACTTCCCTGGTTTACTCAAGAAGTCTTGAGGAGGTTTGATGTCAAATCCGTCGTCCATCCCGTCGTCAAAAGAATGTGAAGTCCTCAGTGAACCCTGCTGGTCGGGAAGGAACATCCAAACACCTATGCTGTTCTAATGAGGCTCTTTATTTAAGAATGATGATGATGAAGAAGAAGTAAGTGAATGAACACATAGCATAGAGGAAGACGAAGTTTTCCTAATACATGAAAATATAACAATGAAGACACAACCCAACTGGTACACGCAGTACATGTGGCAAATGACGGCTTAAGAAACTAAGGGCGTGACTCATTATCTTCCTTGTTCATGATTGGTTCTCCGGCAATCGTGTCGGCTAATGTCGCAATCTCATTGGCTGTGACGGGATGACGAGACGCTCAAGACTTGCCATGCCCTGCGTTTTTTTAAATTGAGCTCAAGAAATGTATTGTTGCAAATTTTTCAATTTAAAGAAAAGACCTCCAGGAGGTGTATACATGTGTGAAAGCTTTTCAAGATATTTGAATTGCATCTCAAATAAGTGTGGACGTTTCACTTTTTCTTGAAAAATCTTTGCATTCATTGTCTCTGATCTTGCCTTTATGTAACTAAAAGAAACATATTGAAGACACCTGAATCTTTTTGCAGGTTGAACTTGAAGCAACACCTTTCACTTATTTTATTATGGATATATGCGATTCTTCAAACTGGTGCCATTAGCAACCCAAGTGGTACCACTTGAAGCTCATGTGGCATCATTTGTAACACAAGTGGTACCACTTGAGGCCCAAGTAGTACCACTTGAAGCCTACGTTGTACCACTTGGCTTGCAAGTGGCACCACTTGACAAGCAAGTGGTAACGTTTGACTTGTAAGTGGTACCACTTGACTTGCAAGTGGTACCACTTAACTTGCAAGTGGTACCATTTGACTTGCAAATGGTACCACTTGAAAGCAAATGGTACCACTTGAAAGCAAATGGTACCACTTGAAATACCACTTCACAATTTCACTTGGGCCAGCAAAAACTATCTTGTTTTGTCTTTCCTCAAAATAAACGTATTATATTAGACGCCATATTGTTAGGTGTTGTTCACAGCGCATGCTCAGAACTAGCTCCCCTTAATTGTCTTTCAAGAAGAACGATTATGATTGTGTGGGATAGACGTTCAACGTGCATCCTGCTTTCCTCGCAGGCAGTAAACTCAAAGCTATGGGTACCCGTGCGCACTAGACCTCGAGAACCGGTCAAAGCTGTGATCGCGTGGTGTTCGCTTCTTCTGATATGCCAAAAGAAGTTGTTGTCGACCATCGTTTTGAACATGCGCTGCGAACAACGTCCAACAAAAATGGCGTCACGTGAATACCCCATATTGATTGGCTGCAGCAGCAGCAGCAGCGCCACGAATAGGCGGAATGGACGGCACCTTTTGCGGAGTATTCACTGGCGGCTATACACCTTTCTATAAAAGCGTTTGAGGGCGCGTTCATTGCTGTGTTAGTGTGTTATGCACCTGGGCTTTCTGGCTGGCCGCAATAGACCCTTTCTGAAAGTCAGTCTACCCACCTTGTGCAGAGCCAGACCCGACGCTCTAATGGCGGAACTACACCGTTTCTCCACACCAGAAAAATCGAACGTCTTCGAAAGCATAAAGCAGAAAAAGGAAAATATGTTGACCGTTTCACGACACCTTCGATACACGAAATCGAGGGTGCTTGATTTAGTCGCGCTTGATCTCCTATCACCGCCATTAGAGCGGCAATATTGGAGCTTTTTGTACTGCCACAAGAGGACTCTGACTTTTGAAAAGGGTCTATTGCGCGCGAGTGCTGGCTGGACTGTGATTTAGCACGCGTGGACTGTGATTTTTGTAAACAGTGAAAACGTCTATAGCTATGTGCGCGACTGCTGAGCGTGTGCTGATGGCGTGCTTCCAGAGTTCGTTTGAAATGTGCATTCCACACCATCAAGATTGCCGGTCTTAGCAACCTATTATCAAAGGAGAAGACCACTTATATGGTCATTCCCGGCCGACGCCGGAGAGCCCGTACAGACATTCAACTGCAGGTGGATGGAGTCCCTATTACCCAGACCGACTCTATCAAAATTCTAGGAGTCAAACATTCGACCGCAAAGGCGGCGCTATCACATGGCTCCGGCGGGTGAAGTCGCAGTGGAAAGAAGGCCTAAACTTACTCAAGGCCATCTCAAACAAGGCATGGGGTGCACAGGACGACCTCCTTCGACGCCTCGTCCGTACCATCCTGATCTCTAAGGTGGTGTACGAACTTAATTATCTTCGTCTCGCCAAGAAACAAGAAGCTGCACTCACCACCATGTTACGAGCAGCCTTGCGAGTTGTCACTGGACTTCCCCGCTTCACGCAGGTTGACCAACTCGAGAGCATCGCTCAAATGAATACTATCCGTGATATCTCCGATGAGATGCGGGTGAGCCAAGCTCAACGGCTGTCTCGCACTCCTCACGGTCGAATCATACTCACGTCCAGTGGTCGCGCCCGCCTCATCAACGGCCCGCTCATGCCGACACCAACTCCACCTTGGAACGCGGAGGCAGTCACCCCTGTCAAACCCCTTCCAAGTCACGAAGGACCTGATCGCCCCGAGAGACGAGCCACGCAAGCGGCCATTCATAACAAGGAAATCAGCCAGTTCCTCAAACACGTAGAAGTCTTCTACACGGATGCAGCGAGGGACAATAGCGGCCGAACCGCAATAGCATGGCACTCACCTACTCGCAACGAGACGAGCAACCAGCTTACCTCACGTACACGAAGCACCTGCATGGCAGAACTTCTGGCGATTCTGTTCGCAGTGGAAACGGCCACGACCATGTCACGCCCAGAAATCAGTGAAACCCGCATATACACAGACTCCCAAGAGGCAGTTCGCGCACTTGGGCAGTCGAGCACGTGCAACGTTACGGTTGCGCACATCCGGGAACTGGTTCGCCTCGCCGGGGCTAAACAGAAGATCACCATCGCGTGGATTCCTGGCCACGCCAACATTCCGGGGAACGAGTGGGCGGACGGGGCCGCGAGGGCACTGCTAAAAGCAAGTATTCAGCCCTCACAAGGCCCGGTCCCTTCGCCCGTTCAACGAGATGTTTCAAGCAAAGAAGTCTTCGACCTCTATGAGATCAAAAAAGAAGAAAGAAATGCCCGGAAGGCGCGACTCGCTGCGCTCCTCCCTGCTAACCCCCATCCGATCCCTCGAGCAGGGTGTCGAACCGGAACCGAACCGAACCGAAAACCGGAACCGAACCGTTATTTTTAGCGGAACTGGAACTGAACCGAGCCGAAATCTTCGCCGCCATCTTGGAACTGAACCGGAACCGAACCGAAAAAAAATATTACGGTAACCGGTTCAAAACGGTTCAAGGTAATTTATTTTTTTATTTTTTGTTAGTATCACAAAATGAAAATATGGGAATAAAAATGGTCAGCAGTATTTCTATCTATTCATCAAATTGCCATATACAGAATTGCAACGTATGGTAAATTGTGGGTTTTTGTGGCGCTTTTGTATTGGCACTATGATTAACCATGTGTCACGTTGTCACGTGACGTCATGGTGAAAATACATGTTGTCAAGTAATGTCACGTGACCTCGTGACGTCAAGTGACTGACTGCGTCAACTCGATTTAATTTGAGGAAGACACTAGATGTATTAGCCTTGTTGACAGCGTGACGTAACATGACATCACGATTTTGCACTGAGAGTCACGTGACACCGTGACGTAAGCGATTTTCATAACACCTAGTCGAGTGCTCGGGTTCTTGACAGTCAGCATCGTCAAACATTCGGGTAACGGCTCATGTCAATTAAATATGTTAATAGCCCAACTCTAAAAATATCTGAAGCTCAGCCCAAGCTTTTGCTTTCCGAACCCTAGCCGCCTAGGGCATGATTATGATGAACACTGACGGTATAGAATTAGCGTCAGATCACGTGGCCGCTTGTTCAAATTGCGAGTTGAGGAAGGGATCGACAGCTGTCTCTTTCCTTTATTTTTTCTGCATCTGCTATTGCGCGGAGGAGAAAACTAATGGATGTTTTCGCAAGCTATCAACGTCAGTGGTTACTTCTTAACAGTATTTATTGATAGTACAAAAAATGTTGAGAGACCAATTGTACATCATTGAGGCACCCAAACATTTTTTGGTTGTTGCTGAACTGCATCCGAAAGATGTCCCCGAGAATAGAAGTATTGAAATGACTAAGCGCGGCTTATTAATATGACGTTACATATAACTACATGTGTTATGAAAGAAATACCTGAAAAAAAAAAAAAGATTTTAGCGACCTCAGATGGACAGCGAACGTTGGCAGTCGCTGTAAGTCTCACACGAGCGTCGTTCTCAAGTTATTGCCCAAGTTTCGACCCCCTCTGTATTTTGCTTAAGAAGCTCCCCCTGGTGAGATTCGGGTCATGATCCCTACCGAAACGCTGCTTACGTGTCATGTAACGAGCTTCTAGTAGTGGCATGTAAACAAAATAACGCCCACGCTGCTTTTATTGACAAAATACATGGGAAATGGAATCCCAGTGTGCTTTCGTTAGCTTTAATCTCCAGTTCTGGCAGAAAGGTTACGCGCATCAGCAGCAACATCCCCCCCCCCTGTTGTGGCTTACGACCACGGTGCTTACGACAAGAGACAGGACGAGGTGCAGCCGATGTAGCTTCCAGAGCCAAACGGTTTTAATGTCCCGTGCATTCGTTTCGTCTCGCACATCCCAGGCGCGCGCTCACTTCTTTGCCCGCCGCCTCGCGCTATTTATTGAAACAATACTCAAACACAACACTCCTTCCCCATCAATGTTTTGGCTGACTCACAAAAGAATACCTCTCCGGTGGCCTACGTTGTCGTATGCTACTTCGAAGCACTGGTGTGGTCGGTACCGCTGTCTCGGAAACAGGCTCCATATCGAGGGCAGCAGGCTCTGTCATGTTGTCTCGAGAACCACCGGACGCCCTTCGTGGTGTTGCAGCCGGAGTGTCGACATTTCTTCTCTGTGCAGACGAATCTTCGAAGTGTCTCGGACGGACATCATCCACGTGCACATACCGATGCTGATCTTGCACTATCACGACGAAGGTTGATGCACTTACTTTCTTCATAACACGTCCCACCAACCATGCAGGATCTGTCGGACGTGATCCCCGGACGAGGACTTGGTCGCCTTCTTCGAAAGTTCGCCAAGAGCCTCTTCTCATGTCGGCGGCTGTCTTGATTTGTTGCTGGCGATCTCTCATGCGTCTCTCCATTTCAGGATGAAGGAAGCTCAGACGGGTCCTAGGCTTCCAAGAGAGAAACAGCTCGGCTGGAGTTTTGTCGGTCGTACCAGTTGGGGTGTTTCTGTATGCAAACAGGAACTGGTCGACTCGATGTTGCATCGATTTCGGTACACCCGTCCGTTGCTCGTCGATTACCTGCCTCAGGAGGTCCCGCTTGACGGTTTGCACACACCGTTCCGCGCTTCCGTTTGAGGCGGGATGGTACGGAGGACTTTTCGTGTGGCGTACCCCATTCATCGACAGAAACTCTACGAACTCTGTCGCCACAAACTGGGGTCCATTGTCTGTCACTACCTCTTCTGGTAGTCCAAACGCGGCGAAAACACTTCGCAATCTTTCGATAGTACATTTTGTCGTAGTAGAACTCGTTAGAAACACCTCTACCCACTTTGAATGAGCATCTACGACAATCAAAAACCAGTTCTGATCCCGGTATGCAAAATCAAGGTGCACCCTTTGCCATCTGCGCGTTGGCCAACCCCACGTTAATAATGGAACACGTGGTGGCGCGTTCTGCGTTAGTTGACAAGTACTACAGTTTTTGACAGTGTTTTCGACATCATATGTTATCAAAGGCCACCACACGTGACTACGTGATAGCATTTTCATTCTGGTGGTGCCTGGATGTCCCTCGTGCAACAGGGACAACACTTTTTCCCTAAACACTTCGGGAATGATCACTCGATTTCCCCATGTTACACACCCTTGGTCAACCGACAATTCGTGACGGCGCACAAAGTACGGTTGCAATGCCTCATTATCCACATGTGAAGGCCATCCGTTCAGTGTGAAAAACAACACTCTTTTCATCACACTATCCTTTTCAGTTTCTCTCCTAATTTCACGAGCTGACAATGGCACTTCGTCCACCGCCGAAAAGAAACTGACGTAGTCTGAGCTATCGTTCACGTTGGGCAAAGGCAGACGTGACAACGCATCAGCATTCTGAATCTGGCTACCCTTCCGATAAACCCACTTGTAACTGTAGGCAGCAAGTAAGAGAGCCCACCTCTGCATCCTGGCTGCTGACATCGCCGGAATTTGTTTTTCATGACCTAACAGCCCTGCCAACGGCTGGTGATCCGAATAGATGCTGAAATTTCTGCCATACAGATACTTGTGAAACTTTTTCAACCCAAAAACAACTGCTAGGGCCTCTTTTTCAATTTGGGCGTAACCCTTTTCAGCCTTGCTCAGAGTTCGTGATGCATAAGCAATCGGTTTCTCATCATTCCCAACTCTGTGAAAAAGAACCGCTCCCACTCCGTACGCTGAAGCGTCACATACAAGCCCCAATTCCTTTTTTGGGTCATAGAACGTTAAGACGTTTTCATGCGTAAGCCACGCCTTACTTCTGTTGAATGCGTTGTCTTCTGCCCTTGACCAACGCCATTTTGTGCCCTTCTGTAATAAGTCATACAACGGCTTCAGCTCGGTTGACATGTTCAGCACAAACTTGCCATAAAAGTTAATCATGCCCAAGTAGGCGCGCAGTTCTGATTCATTTTTGGGGCATGGGGCCTCCCGTATGGCCTTTACTTTCTCTTCCGATGGTCGAACCCCATGTTGATCTATCACATGTCCCAAATAATGAACAGACGTCTGAAAAAATCTACATTTTTCTTTCTTTAGTCTGATGCCTTGTTGGCTGAACCGTGCCAGCACGCTTTCCACCTTTTTGTAGCAGTCCTCATAAGTTTCGCCCGCTATTAGTACATCGTCTAGATAGCACGCGACATTTCTCAGCCCTTCCAGTACTTTGTCCATGACGGACTGAAAAATTGCAGGAGCACTAGTGATGCCGTAAGGCAATCTCGTGGACTTAAACAAGCCAAGGTGTGTGTTCACAGTGACCAAATCTTGTGACTCCGGATGCAATTCCAGCTGCTGGTAGGCTGTAGACAGATCAAGTACGGTAAAGTACTTACAACCACTCAGTAAAACGAACAAGTCTTCCATGAGCGGGAGAGGGTAGTGATCCGTCCGACAGACTGGGTTTAAGGTCACTTTGTAATCTCCACACAACCGGACCTGTTTGTTTGGTTTAGGTACCACTACCAAAGGTGTCGCCCACTCACTTTGCAACACTGGTACCAATATTCCTTTTGTTACTAATGATTGAATTTCCTGCTCCACAGCTTCTCTTAGCGCATAGGGCACAGGTCGCGGTTTGCAGTAGACAGGGGTGCTTTGTTCCTTCAAAACCAGTTTGACCTGTTGTCCTTTTATCAAACCCACACCTTCTCCAAAAAGTTCAGCGTACTTCTCAAGGAGCCTTGCTTCCTTTTCTTCTCTTACACTGTTTACGCATGACCAGTCTAGCCTCAGCTCTTCTAGCCAGTCTCGACCAAGCAGCGGGGTTACGTTGCCCCCTGGTGCCTTAACTACAATAAGAGGAAGTGTCTTTCTCTGTCCATTGTGCTCGACTGGTACTGACAACTTCCCAGTCACCGTGAGAAAATTCCCCCCATACGTTCTCAATTTAAGGTTGCATGGCTCCTTAGGAATGTTTGCCCAGTATTTCACACACCACGATTCTGGCACTACCGACACGGACGCTCCAGTGTCTATCTGCATTCTTACGAGCTTGTCGGCTACTTTAACATCTACTTCATAGTTACGCCTTCCCGTTTCACACGCGTACACTGTGTAAAGCTGCATATCATCAGCTCCCTCACTTGCGACGTGTTTAACGGAGTCTGTTTTGAACCTACAAACTTTTGCCAGGTGTCCGACCTTTTTACAGACATGACATTTGTACTTGCGGTACTTGCAGGGCTGTCCAGTGTGTACCTGTCCGCAGTAGGAACATGAAGACGTGGTGTCTCCCGTATGCCCGGATGTCTGTTTAGTCGTGGAAGCTCGTGGACCCTTATTTGACTTGCGCCACGGTTCCCTTTTCTGTTGCCGAACCGCATTCACGTCGTCTTCTTCTCGTTGGCTAGACGACCTATGACGGCCTGCAGTAGGCTGAAACGTGATGGTTTCCTTGCGTGCGAGCTCGATGCTTTTAGCAATGTCACACGCGGCACCAAACGTCAACGTCGTCTTCTTCAACAAGTCGGACTGTGTTTTCTTGTCTTTTAATCCCGCGACGAACCTGTCGCGCAAAGCATCATCCAAGAAACTGCCGAACTCGCAAGTCGACGCGAGCCTCTTCAGCTCCACTGAAAAAGTGGCTACCGTCTCCTCTTCCTTTTGGTAGCGACGGTTAAACTTAAACCGCTCTGCTATCACCATCGGCCTCGGAGCGTAATGACCTTTCAGAACCGCCACCAACTCCTCCCAGCTTTTCTCTTCTGGTTTGACCGGATGGAGTAAAGTCTTAAGAGTCTTGTACGGTTTCTGGCCAATTGCGGTGACAAAAGCAGAGAGCCTTAGGGCTTCGCTTACCTTTGTAGCCTTTAGGTAGTGTTCGAATCTTTCGACGTAAGATTCAAAATCTTCGTCACCATCTTCCACAAATGGATCGAACCTTCCCAACCCTGCCATGTTCGTTCGTCCTTGCCGTGGCCCGGTGGATTCCTTCTACGATGCCCGTTGCAGTCGTGATGGACGTTCCATACCTCGTCGCCAATTATGTTGTGGCTTACGACCACGGTGCTTACGACAAGAGACAGGACGAGGTGCAGCCGATGTAGCTTCCAGAGCCAAACGGTTTTAATGTCCCGTGCATTCGTTTCGTCTCGCACATCCCAGGCGCGCGCTCACTTCTTTGCCCGCCGCCTCGCGCTATTTATTGAAACAATACTCAAACACAACACCCCCCCCCCCCCCCCCCCCCCCGGAGAGCTTCTCAGCCTAGAGCACTGCACGGGCCCGGGCCAGCCCGAAAGCCCGAGCCCGGCCCGGCCCGCGGGCCGGGCTCGGGCCGGGTAGCACGTATTTTCTCGGGCCCGGGCCGGGCTCGGGCTTGAACAAAAAAGTTATCGGGCCGCGCCGGCCCGGGCCGGCCCGGGCCGTGCCTGGGCAATCTTGTGCCGTAAATCATAAATTGTTGTTGATAGCAAGACGTTTGCTCATTAATCTTTTAGATTCATTGAATACAAAACAAAGAAAAAAAAGCGAAATGCAAATTCCCTACAGCGTCGTTAAAAATAATAACTAAAAGACGTCTTGAAGCTAAAAAGCCTTCAAGCTTTTTCTGTGTGAGCGAGGGTTCAGTGTTATAAATTGTAAACAAAATAAAGTCCCAGTCATATGCTTGTCAACCTGTCTGATTCATCGCTCTCAAAAATATCTAGTTCACTATTAGGAAGATTTAGAAAAACGTACGCAAGCGCTTTGGGTACCGTAAAAATAGCGTTGTGATGTAAAACCTATGGCGGTGCTAATTTTAGCTTGCCCAAAGTGCTTGGGTACGTTATTCTAAAAACCCCTTATTGCACAGAGCGCGACACTATATTAGCGCGAACAAGTGATCGTCGTGTTTTTATGTTTATCTCATAGAATCAAAACGCTGTTTACAAAACTATTAGTGTCTTTAGAAGTGCTCATCTAGGCCACAGACCTAAGCGGTATACTTTGGTGCCTACTAACACCATTTCGAAGTAAAATTCGAAAAAAGAGCCAACGTCGTGTTCGCGGTATCAGTGTCGCGCAGTGTACATAGTCCGTTCCGCGCTGGCACGTTTTGGGAACCATCTTGAAAAAAACGTTTTAAGGGGTTAAGTAGGAATATATTAAACTTAAGCTAGCCTAAAAGGATTGTGTATTTTAAGAACGCGTTGACATGTAAAGCTACTTCAGAACATATTCTTAAACAGAAAAGGTGCGCAGACCAGGCTTAGAACGATGAAGACTTTTTGCGAAGAGGTTGCGATGTGCACGGCTTTATAAAAGTAGGTTGAAACGGGACGCGTTCAAACGCAAAGGGTGTTTCGGAAACTGGTTCAAATAAGAAGGGCGTTTAGGGAATGGGTCGAAACAGGACAAATTCAAACGAGAAGGGCATTTAGGGAACTGGTCGAAACGGGACGGGTTCATATGGGAAGGGCGTTTAAAAAATGGGTCGAAACAGGACGGGTTCAAATGGGGAGCTCGTTTCGGGGACCGGTCGAAACGGGACGGGTTCAAAAGGGAATCGGTTGTTTCGGGCTACAGCCATCGGGCCGGTTCGGGCGGAGCCTAGAAATTAAAAATTCTGTCGGGCTCGGGCCGGGCCTGGGCCGTGTCTCTTCCGGGCCGGGTCGGGCCGGGCCTAGAAATTAAAAATTCTGTCGGGCTCGGGCCGGGCCCGGGCCGTGTCTCTACCGGGCCGGGTCGGGCCGGGCCTAAAAATTCCGGCCCGTGCAGTGCTCTATCTCAGCCTGCCCCCACCCCGGGAAAATGAAAAGTCTACGCCGCTGAACGCGATAGCCTTAACGGGCCTCGTTTGCATCGCATTCTCATTTGCCACGAAAGCGTGCCTCGCGTGGCCTAGTCAAAAGCGTCTGATTCGCAAGCGAAGGGTCGCGGGTTCGAATCCCGCCTAAAATTCTTAATTCTAAAGGAATTACTTTAAAAAGTTAAATCATTTAAGACATATGGCGATCTTTAATTCGCATCACATGTCATGTTTTAATCGCTGTCATTCCACGCGTGATGTCGCGTTTGACATGAGAATTGTGGGTTGTTTGAAATTCTTGCGCGAGGGCATGTAGCTCTGACGTCATCACCTTATCGACCAATAAAAATTTTCTAGTCACGCCACAGACATCGGGTTTTCTGCGACGTGAGCTCCTTAACGCTATCGCGTTAAAGTCATCAATTAGCAGAGGTGATGCTCATTTGCAAATTAAATTGACCGGCATCTTGTCAAGAACAAAACTCAACAGTCAGGCTATGTCAGCTTCTCCTGTATAAGAAAATGTTCACTTGGACAAGAGCTATTTTGGGCCAGAT